AAACACTTGAGAAATGATGCTGGGAAAGCAATCGGATCATTATGTATATTTTCACGGGGGCAGCGACTGGGAATGCACGGTGGGAGGTTCTCTCTTGGCAGAAGGGCGTGTGTTCTCTGCAGAAGGGTCCCTCTTCCAGCGAAAACATTTTAATGAAATCACGATCAGCAGAACTTGATCAAGGCTGACCTCAGTGGGGCAAAGAAGAGCCCCCAGGGTGACGTCTCCAATGCAACAATTGAACAGTCCTGAGATGAGAAGTAAACAAATTATTAATCTAACTAATTGGCAATGGCCACGCATCGTTTTTTCTCTTATTCATATTCTCTCCCTAAATAAGTCTGTTTGGAGAGCAGCAAGTTGAAAATAGGCACAGAAAACAGACGATGAAAAGATAGATACGTTTAGTTTAGTTTATTTCATCTTGCCCCTGCCTTTCTCCCCAAAGCAGTTTATATAATTCTCCTCTCCTCTATTTCAGCCTCACAACAGCCCTCTGAGGTAGGCTGAGTGGGGGACTAGCCCAAGGTCTCCCAGCAAGCTTCCACAGGCAGAGTGGGAATCCGAACCTGGGTCTCCTGGATCCTAATCTGCTAGTCTGTCACAACAAAGGGGTGTGTGTGTGTGTGTGTGAGTGTGTGGAGGGGGATGAGCTGACCCAGTCCTGGGACTCTAACCGCCTCCTCCTAACCCTGGCTGCAGCACCAAGCCATGCCTCCAGAGATGCAGGCCTTTCTTCGGGATATGCTGGCTGGCGGAACTCTGGGATATGCTGGTATAGTGCTTAGTTGGCTTCTGATGCACTTCGGCCCCAAGGTTTAGGACAGTGCTGCTAGGCATTAATGCCAAAAGTACAGGTCCATTTGTCTCACAGGTGACCACTTGATCTTAGAGCCCAGGGAGCGTAGTATAATGCTTAGAGAGCTAGTTTGGTGTAGTGGTTAAGTGCGTGGACTCTAATCTGGGAGAACTGGGTTTGATTCCCCACTCCTCCACTTGCAGCTGCTGGTGTGACCTTGGGTCAGTTACAAGTTCTGTCAGAGCTGCCTTTGAAAGAGCAGTTCTCGAAAGAGCTCTCTCAGCCCCACCTACCTCACAGGGAGTCTGTTGTGGGGAGGGGAAGGGAAAGGAGTTTGTAAGCCGCTCTGAGACTCCGAGTGAAGGGCGGGATATAAATCCAATCTCTTCTTCTTAGAGCACAGTCTTACGCGTATCGTAATTTCACAGGGCAGGGTAGAAGCTTGGAACACAGTGCTTCCATATGTTCTCGTGAACCAAGGAAAACAAATGTCTATTTCTAAAAGGACCACAAATAAACCATTGAATTACTCTATTTTGTATTTATTTCATTCCCACCCTGCCTTTCTCCCTGACGGGGACCCAAGGCGGCTTTACCTCATTCTCCTCTTCTTGGGTGATAGTGAGATATTGAAAAAATGGTATTTAGCAGAGATAAGATGGTCCAGCAGAGCCAGAGTAAAATAATTCAGACTCAGAGTCCATGTGTGATTAAAATATAAAGTTTTTACTAAATTCTAGCATGGGAAGGGTAACTGGGATGAAAATAACAACAGAGCAAAATCTACTACATCCTTACTCTACAAAGACAAAACTAGAAGAGAGTGAGTATGGCTACTCTTCTTGTTCTTCAGAACACCAAAACAAAGACAGAGAGCCATAAAATGCTAATACACCTTGACACTTTAGTCCCAATAAAATTTCTAGATCAGTGAGAAAATTCCCGGACATTCTACATCTAAGGAACATTGGTTACAATAAAAACTTGTGACTTCCTGTGAGTAACATAAACATTTTACCCCAGATATACTGAGTGTTTTCAACTTGTAATACCCAACACCTCTCCTCCATTTTATCCTGATGACAACCCTGGGAGGGGGATTAGGCTGAGAGAGTGTGTGACTGACCCAAGGTCACCCGACAAGCTTCCATGGCATGAGTGGGGATTTGAACCTGGCTCTCCCAGATAACTAGTCCGACAGTCTGAACCACGACACCACACTGGCTCTTTTTAATGACAAGTTTGCCATTCAGACCCTGGATCAAACTCCGGATCCTCCAGAGCCTGGAGGAGTGTACCCGTATTGCCCCACCCTTCTGAGACAGGGAAGGGCTTGGTTCAAAGACCTGCTTGCCGATAACACTTAGTAGGTGGCCGTGGGCTACTCCTCACAGCCCAGCCAACCTCATCAGGTGGCTATTAGGATAAAAAATCAGGTTGCCAGATTTTTTTTTTAAAGTAAATTTTTATTTGGTAATACATATAAATTCATTACACAAGTTCAAGTACACCATCAGAACCTCCAAATTTTAAAGAAAGAAAGAAAGAAAGAAAGAAAGGAAGGAAGGAAGGAAGGAAGGAAGGAGAGAGAGAGAGAGAAAGAGAGAAAGAGAGAGAGAGAGAGAGAGAGAAAGAAAGAAAGAAAGAAAGAAAGAAAGAAAGAAAGAAAGAAAGAAAGAAAATACAGGGTTAAACCAAGATTAGAAAAAAATCATATCTTTGTAAACTGGATTATTCAAAAAAATATCTTTGTTCAGACAGACACTGGATTAGCGGAAACCAAGTTGCTGGGAAATTATCATGGATGTTCTCCGAGTACAGTTGGATAGTGCCAACAGTATTTTCGCCATAATAAAATAAGACCATATACGATTAAACCAAGATTTGAGACCGCCAGAATTTAAGAGGGCCAGGTTCAAATTCTGCCTTGCCATGAAGCCCAGTGGTTTATTTTGAGCTAGGCACTCTCTCAGCCTCTCTTGAGGGGGAGGATATTTAAAAAAAACCCAACACCCTGGTCTGTATAGTCTGATAGAAATGTATTGCAGCCTGCACTTTCCCAGACCGGCTCCCTCAGACTCACAAAGTCTTCATTAATATATATTTGACTAGTGTGATGCCTGTGTGTGTGTGGGGTGTGTGTGTCCCCCCTTCCTGCCTGGGCCCAGCTCAGCTCCTGGCACTGCTGCTGTTGGGCCCAGCACAGATACTGAGCTCTTCTGACGACTGCCCGAGGTAGGTGCTTTCTCTCTGCTTGTGCAGAGAATGTTGTTTTACTTTTGGGGGAATTAACCCCCAGTGTCCTTTTTTTTTTTTTAAGATTCCAGATTTTTTTCCTGCCAATTCGGCAGGTCACCCAAGTTTGCAGAAGAATCTGATTGGGGTCACTGTGACCATGACCTCGATCTGCAGATTTAGGTATCTGCAGATGGGCGCCACACTTGAGAAACAGATACACAGATCCTGTCTTTTACTTATTCTGGACTGCAAAATTCTATACCTGATTTTTTTTTGGGGGGGGGGAGAAGGCCCTGCCAAAAGCTACTCTAAAAGCACCATAAATAATAATAGTATGCCCCTGATTATTTACCATAAGAATTCCAGGGAGGCAGCCACCGTGTTCGTCTGCAGCAGCAAAAATAAACAGCAGTCTGGTGCGGCCAGCAGGGCCAATATAAGCAGTGGCAGACTAGAGCCCGTCTCTTCAGACATACCCTGGAAAGTAGGGTCCCTCCTGGCCAGGGATGGGGGCTAGGTTTGCCTGATCCAGGTCAGGAAACTCCTGGAGATTTGGGGGTGGACCCTGGGGAGGACAGGGACCTCAGTGGGGTACACAATGCCACAGAGCCCACCCTCCAAAGCATCCATTTTCTCCTGGGGGAACTGATCTCTGTAGTCTGGAGATGAGCTGTAATCCTGGGAACCCCCAGGCCCCACCTGGAGGCTGGCATCCCAAGTCGCAGTGGTCAGTTTCTTACTGGCACACTCTACTGGTGGTAGGGTTGCCAGGTCCAGGCTGGGAAATGCCTGGAGATTGAGGGAGGACAGGGACCTCAGTGGGGCACAATGCCACAGAGCACAGCAGCCATTTTCTCCAGGGGAAACGGGTCTGTTTAGTCTGAGAGAGGAGCTGTAATTTCAGGATATCCCCAGGCCCCACCTGGAGGCTGGCATCCCAAGTCGCACTGGCCACTCTCCTGGTGGCGGGGTTGCCAGATCCAGGTCGGGAAACTCCTGGGGATTTGGGGGTGTTGCCTGGGGAGGACAGGGACCTCAGCGGGGTACACTGCCATAGAGCCCACCCTCCCGCCAGAGCCTGCCTTTTCTCCCAGGGAACTGATCTCCGGAGCCCGGAGAGGCGCTCTACTTCGGGGGGGTCGCCAGGCCGCACCTGGAGGCTGGCATCCCTGGCGGGGAAAGGCATTTTTTTGGGGGGGTGAGTCTTCAAGGGTCTCCCGCTCATCCACGCGCCTGTGTCGTTTAGCCAGGCGAGGCAGAGGGCGCCCGCTCCCCGGGTCCCGCCCGCCGGAGGGCCAGCTCTGACGGGGGTGGGGTGGGGTGGGGGGCGTGCCAGGCAGCCCCGGTAGCCCCCGGAGGGGTCCTCGCCCGGCACAACAAGTGCAGGCGGCCAAGGGCGGGGCGTCTTTCCGAGAGGGGCGTGGCGCGGAGGGGGGGGCGTGGCGCGGCGCTGCCTGGCCGGGGGATGGTGCGCGCCTGAACGCGAGGTTGGCGAGTGGCGGCGGCGGCTGCAGATTGGCGCGTCCGGGCCGGGGAGCGCGAAGACGGAGGGGAGGTCCCGCTGGAGAAGAAGAAGGAAGGGGGGTCCCCGCGAGGCGCCCTGTGCTGCCCGCCCGCC